TGCCCTCTTCGTCATCTGTGGGGAAGTTGAGTTTCGTGCCGATGTAGAGGCCCGGTTGTGAGCGTTGTTCGTTGCCCCCTTCGTCGATTGCGGGAGGGCGTTGAGCTTCGTGACGATGTGGAGTCTCGCTCGGCGGTTCTTCGCTTCGGTCGTTGTGCGCATGAAGATGACGACTTTTTAATAATGTGTGCAGGTGGCAGTGACCAGATAAATCAAGGCGGTCGCCGCTCGACAAGAAAGCCGACAACAAACGACCGGATCAAAGCGCACGAGGAGCACATGTTGATGTGTCTGTGTGTGTGGAGGAGAAAGGCCAGCCAACCGACAAGAAATGGGGGGGCTGCCCCTTTTGATGGGCCCCCAGCCACCCGCCCCCAACGGCCCGTAACGAACCCTTAGCGCCACCGTTTCAATCCCTGCTCCGCCACCCAATCAAAACAGCACAAAGTGGCTGCTGAGCCGCAAAAAAGCAAGTCCCGGCGTTGAAGCTAGCCTTCGTCACCACGTCCGTGCGCCGCTAGTGGCGTCCTACGCGAGGTGTGCATTTGGCCTGCAGGAAAGGGCCAATCTCGACGTAATTCCATTTGCGCCGATTTCTGCTCGTTTGCACCATGGCTCCCTGGCGTGGGCGACCCATCCCGGACGAGAACCGAGCCTGACCACCCAAAGGTCCCTTTTCGACGCAGCTCGAACGGCAACGTCCAAGGAACACCCCCAAGCCATTATCGGCTGCACCGACTGCCAAGCCCGACCTGAGTGCCGCAACAGAAAGGGCCTACGAGGCACGTAAAAAGCAAGTAATGGCAGCAAGCCTTGATTCGGTCGTCCGTCCGCCAACACCAGCGTTTTAGATGGCCTGTGTGCTGGCTCGGCCTCCTCAGCGCTGTGCTAAGGGGCCGGTATTGGCGCCACCCATTCAGCCATTTCCTTCTCATGGCCCAGTCCATGGTCTCATCCGGACGCTCGAAGAGACGGAAGAATCGAGCCCACATCGGCTTTTCCAATGACTCTTCTTTTGGGAGTGACTTGGGTGTGGACCACACACGCGCATGGGCACGTCCGCCCCAGGGGCTAAAATCGGCGGATTCGGGCGCAATCTACTACCGGCCGCGCTGCGACAGGCCAGAAGAGGCATGCCGCAGCTGGCGCAGAATGCCCTGTTCAGCTATGTTTAGCCGCCCACGCCGCTCGCGTGCGTCGCTCAAAGCCATCTTTGGCTGTCATGGCTGCTTCGTCGCCGTAGACAGCTGGAAATGAAGGGGCGAGCAGCCACGATACCGCCATCTGTCCGCCGATTCCGCACTGCGTCCGCGAAACACGGGAGTCACTTCCCCCGTGGCGATCTAATTAGCCCGTCTTGGACGAATTCTGCAACGTGATTGCCGGCCAATGTGCTGTGCTGCATTTGCGCCGCCTTTGGCTGTCGACCACATGGGCACGAGGCGTCATTTTCGACGCAGCTCGAATCGTCTAATGAACAGTCCCCCAGCCATTATCGGCTGCACCAAATGCCCAGCTTCACCATTCCCTCCATGCAATAGTGTGCCAGCCAACTCTTCGACAGCCAGATGTGCCGTACTCAACCCAGCGACACAGCAGAAAAAGGCTGCCGAGCCATAAGAAGCAAGTAGTGGCGGCCGTACCGGGCCCTGCGCCAATACCGCCGGTTTGGAAGCCGCGCCTGCCAGTCTGCCAGCTTTGGGCCACTTGCTGCCAATAACCCAGACAGTGGCAGACACACTTTCATCCTAGGCGGGTCCGGCTTCCGACCCCAATTCACCGTGTTTCTTTCGGCTGTCGTGCACATCCCACAGTCATCCCACAGTCCGGTCCGACCGTTCCATTCCGGACCCAGATCGCAGGGTCCTGCCTATATGGCGGTGCGTTGGACACCACATAGCACGCCTTGCGTCGACCCGGAAAAGCGCCAGTTTCAGCGTCGCATTGCGGCGGAATTGGCCCATGTGGCCCGCATTGGCGCATGACTCCCGCTTTCCCTCTGACAACTGCCTGCAGAAGCCGTTGTCGGCTGCAGATAAGGTGCGGCAGATGAAATTGGGCAAGCAGATGTTGGCTTTCATGCCATCTGTCGACCCGCCACGGGCAATTCCACGGCACTGCGTTCCAATGAGCAAGGCACGGTCGTCCTCTCAGTGCCCGGGCGGCTCCCATCCTACTCTCCCAATAGCCACTGTCGCTTACCCAAGCCCCCAAAGCCATCCAAGAGTCGCTGGAAGACCTCCACGATCCGAGGAACCGTGAGGCCATCCGTCGCGACGATCTGCTCAGCCATCCAATCCCGCGACAGGTCCTCAACCCTCCCGTTCCAATCCTTTTCACGCCCAACCTCACGAATCACGGCCTCGCCCAATATGCCTTTTCGGGCTGTCAGCAGCGACGCGACCGTCTGAAGCATCACTCGGGCGCCAATCCAATTACAAGCTCCGGCCCTCCCGTCACGTTCACCCCCGCCGGACGCTCCGTCCTCAGCAAGCCGACAGACGAACAGCGGAAAGCGGCAACCGGGGCAGCACTCCGCCGTTCCACCTTCCGCCCCGCGGAGATCCGACCACTGCTTGAGCAAGCTTCTCGCCCGTTGCGCCTCCGGTCGCATTTGACACTCCTCCATGTCATGAAGATAGCAGGCCTCGCTCCATTCGTACATGAGGCACAGCTGACACCTTACCCCGCCCTTATACCATGCGGCGAGACGCTTTCGGAGATTCAAGGTAAAAGAATAGTATCCACCCGACATGGATGCCTGCTCCCTCTGGTACTTGGCATACTGAAGCGCTTCGTGGATTCTCAACCGCTGCTCTTCTTCGGGGTCCAAATCGTCCGTGCCGTCGTCTGTACTGCCGCACAGCGCGGGCGAGGGAGGCCTGATAACATCGACAGCCAGTGCAGCTCGACGTTGAGCGACTTCCTTTTCGATCCACATGTCCTCCACGCCCGCGTCGAGATGGCAGAAGACGCGTAGCATCACCGCCACGTCCTGTTCCCCCCATCGCGCCGGCGATAAGAGCCAGCCCTCCAAGCCCATATGTCGATTGAAGCGGATAGCGCTGGAGCCTCGCCAGGCTTCAACGTGAGCCCGAAACGACTTTCCGCCCATTGCCATGTCCGTCGGCGGGCCAGAAAAGGACATGACGGCAGACAGCGCGTCCACGACGACTTCCCGAAAGGCACAGCGGCTCCCGTCCTCGACTGCTTGGTCTTGGCTAATTCTGTCTTCGCGGGGATCCGCATACGCCTCCGGCGGGATGCGAGTTGTCCACGCGGGGCATGCACTCTTAGGCAGTAGACAGTTGCCGCACCATGGCACGGGCCCATACCCTTCGAGCCCCCGATGCTGGAGTTCAACAATGCCTTCCCACAAGCGGCCACGGAGGCCCCGTGCCTCCTTACCTTCGCTTCTTGGGCAGGACGACAATGTATGCCCGTGGCAGGCGGTGTCTCGGTAGAGTAGGCACAAGGGGCATCGTACGGACCATCGCTCCAGTTGTCGTTTGACGGTCTCTTCCCTGAACCGCTCTTGGCCGATCCGCCCTGCGGAGTCCTCATCCCATCGTTGCTTGTGAGCAGGGCGACGCCAGTTCCAGTCAAACATCCGATACCAATCGCTTACTTCTGTTGCCGGCCAGGTGTGAATGGGCCGCGACACGTCGCGGTGTATCAACGAACCCTCGAGACCCTCTTGCATTGTCCAATACACATTCGCCGACCTCTCGCCCCGTTCCGCGGGGGAGCTGTCCCGCAATAGAATGGGACGCCAACGATTTGAAGTTGCGCGAGGTGGTGGGCTCGGTGGGTCCGGCGTTGGGCTCCATCGCGACCCGTCGTCTGACGATGAAGCATCGCTCAAGCAGTCGTACGGGTACGGGTTGCGACGGACCAGCGTCTTGCTGTCGGCAGAGTCGTCTTCCCGTGGCCTTTTCCGGGACCGCGCTGAGGAAGGCAGCGCGTGACGCACAGACGCCGAGGACGTGGGAAACAGCAGTGACTCAAGCCCGCTACGTCCGCTGCGATTGCGATGAGCATCATCGGGGCCTTTCGGAGGACAGGGCATTTTCGCCATCGTTCGGTGTTCTGATGCCGTGTACAAGCGAGACGAGATCGCGCTTCAAGCGTCCCGTCCAGAATGATTCCGATGCTCCCCATAAGGCGGATGGTTTACAGCACAACGTCTGGTTATTACGCGGAAGCTTGAGCATTTCTCATTAAACGCGGACGCGAAATGACGCGCCACGTTTTCGCGACAGGGGCTTGCGGACCGGTAAGCAAGGATCACAGTGGCTGTAAAAAGAAACCACACCCAAGTTCCAGCCCCAGCCCCGAAACGCATGTGCCCTGCAAGCTCTGGAGCGGCGGTGACAGGGTCCTCCCAGAACGGCAGCCAGATGGTGCGCTGTGTCTCACCAGCATGCCGCCCGCTGCCGCAGAAAAGGGCAACGGGCCGCCCCCCACCTCGCGGCCACTCATCGCGACGAGCGAATGTTATTAGCACCAAGACTTCAGCAGAACCGGTGCGGACAACGCAGCGGTAACAATGGACCACGAAACAGACGAGGCCGTACTCAAGCTCCTCGGAGGGCGGACCATCGCCGCCTTCGCTCGTTTGCCGGACGACAAGCGCAAGGCCACCTTTCGGCGCAGACTAGTCCAGCCAACGCCCGTCATAATCGAGGAAGGTGATGACGATGACTTCATGAACCCGAAGATCGCCGACGGTGTTCGCCTGCGCCAAGAATACTTCATGGGCGACGATGATGTCGGCAGGCAGCTCGTCAAAGAGGCAACCGAAACATACTACGGGGAGAACTCGTTCGTCGTGCGTTGCCACTGGCTGGGCGAGTTCATGGCTGATAGCCTCGCGGACTCGATCACTCCGGTGCGGATCGCTCCATTGGTCAGAGGTACCATCACGATACATGCCGACGTTCGATCACACGTCGGGTCGGCAAACGCAGACGGCGGTATCCTGGAGATGTGTCAATGGAGACGTGACCGGCTGGAAAAGCTTTACGATTTTGTCAACGCCAGTCACATCCACTTCGTGTTGTTCGGTGAGGGGCCATTGGATGGTAGTGACCCGAGGACCCAACGACTGCTTAAAGACATCGCCCCAGTCATCAAGCGACTGCTCGCCAAGTTCGGTGAACGGTTCGACATCATAAGGAAGTCTTCCACCACGTCGCCCCGATTCCAGAGTCTCCGTCCGTACTGGAGAGCGCCGACGGAAGCCGTCCGCCAAAGGGTGGCAGAGGGCAAGGCCACGTTCGAGCAGACGATGCAAGTGAGGATCGAAGAGTGGGCGCGTGACGTGGTCCTGTCAGACGAAATGGAACAGTAGATATGGCGTGCTCCGGAGAAGGGCGTCTGCAACCCATGTGTGTAGTTCGTAGTAGATAGCAATTCGAGACGGCCAGATGGTGAGTTGTATGATCCCCCCCCCAATCGCGGCCCAGTACCAGTACGTCAAGTCTGCGGCAGGTGCTCCCCCGAGCAGACTCTGTCTTCGGCCAGGTTCGAAGTACGGGGTCCATGTCATCCCTGGGCGAGGGCGAGGATTGCGCAAGCACTGGCGCCGGCCAACACACAGACCTTGCAAGCCACCAAATTGACAAGCACCTACAGCGCGAATCCGACGCGGCTACCCAACTACTCTACGCGCTGTCAGTGGCCCGGCTGCCGGGTCACGTCCCCCGGCGAGGGTCATTGGCACTGCAATTTGCGCCCCCGCGTGGGAACCAGCCACGAACTACCCATGAATTAACTGTAGGCCAAGGAGTGGCCGCCGGCACAGACCGTCGCTACAATGTGATGGTCGCTCCGCGGCCAATCCTTCGCGTCCACTGACAGACACGCCATCAATACAACGGATGTCAAGACCGACGTAAAAGAACCTAAGTTTGGTGCCGCCAGAGACCTTGCCCGCAACGGTAATAATGGTCAGCACGTTGGGGGCAGAACCAAGACAGCGGGGTATGCGCTTTTACAGTAGTCCGTGGCTGTCCGTCCCGAACCCCATACAATTGTTCAAAGCTCAACCGCACTATCATACACCAAACTGCCAAGCTCTTCCGACATGTCTCGCTCCTCCTCGTCCGTGACGCTGCCGCACCACCCACTCTCGGAAGCCGTCTCCTCCTCGTCCACCTCACCAGACGGCACGGGCTCCTGCGGTGGCTCGCTCTGCGACAAAAACTGCCGCAAGAGTGAAGGGGACTGTCTCGTCACCTCTGCCGCCTTCTTCTTCGCCTCCAGATGCGTCAGCATGTCGTATTGCTTCCCTCCGTTGTTGAGTAGACGCGTCGTCCATTGCAGTCGCCGTTCAAGCTCAGGACTGCGTCCGCGGAAGGAGCGAACCCTTGCGATGAGCTTCATTAC